GTGTCAAACACGATCGAATGTGTACTTAGATTCTGTATTGCATTATTTGTTTGCATCGAACCATACAGCCCCTGTTGTACTATGGCCAACGACCCGCGTAAGCTGTTCCCGCATCAATCATTCACAGGATTTTGAGATTTTTTCATTATATTGTATTGAAAAAAGGTTACAAATTTTTAAAATTCAAAAAATCCCCTACTTACATTTCCCACCACAAATGTCGTTTTCACCCGTAGGTATCCCCTACCCCCTAACGATAGGCTAAACACCTCCCTACCGTAGGGAATTGCTGCCCTAAACGAGCGTGCGCTGAGAGGGTCTATGTCCCTCCGGGTACTGCCGAACGTACCTGGTTACGTCCGTCATATCCGGAACGTATCCCTGGTGCTATTCTTAATATGAATTTTGCCGAACCGTACCTCTCCCTTTTTTGCCGCTAACGGAAGTCTATGGGATTCGCCATAACAGTCCTACTCCCTAACTCCGAACACCCGAACTCAAACCCAATCCCTCACCCTAATCCCTAACTGATAACCTAACATATCAAATAGTGACCACTGGTACGTTCCGGTATATTCACCGTCGCGCCAGGTAAAACTTCCGGCATACCCTGGGGACATAGAACCACTATAGCACTGACAGCAGCCTTGTCCACAGTAACACTGCGGCAGCGTATTGTCTAGACACATGTCGTTCGTTTGATACCAATGTATAATACAGTAACACATCACATTTACTTGCGCTTGCAAACTATGTATGCCTGCGTATAATACGCTATCCGCCGCCTAGTGTGGCCTAAGCCCGCTCAGTATTTTGAACCGATTTTTTTCAGACGTAAATTGTAAGCGGGAACTCCCTGTTCCGCGGGGATCGGTCCGATCCCCCGCGATCCCCCCCGGTTACGGCCTGGACCCTTATGGATAGACCGGCCTACCTTTTCCTGCATGATATGGCACACTGGGACCACCGCCTTCTGATGAATCTTGATGTCGCTGATGCCGTCGAGCAATGGGGGGGCATGTCAAAGAAGCTAAATGTACATGTCATCTGGGAAAAACTCAGCTGCAAACACAACCCCACTCCGCCGGTCTTGCACAGTCGTATGCGTGCTGCAACACTTTCACCACACGAAAGAGGCGGATGGATAAGATGACGACTGATGTGATCTGAAATCAGCGTGAGGAGCAATGAAACGATGAGCGGAGGGTTGATTTTTCCAGAACATAAGAACCTTGTTCAAATCACGCACAAATATTTCAATGTGTCAATAAGTCACTGTTTCTTGATCGTTTAAATATCTATTAGTCATTCTTGATTCGTCCTAAATATACTTAATTGCAAGTAATTGTTCACAAATGTTGTGTGCTACTGGACTGTCCATGTTTTATCCACAAGCATAAAAGTATAGGGGTTGAGATATTTACTTAAAAATATTTTTAAAATGTAATAAATAAAAAGTAATCTATGTAATTTATTAAAATATGATAATATTTAGTGATTTACCTTGACCTCTATCAAACCGTTACCGATAGGCCCATACACTTATAGAATATCAAAAATAATAATAATACCACTATTGCAACATATACCATACCACATTATTATATTGGGAAGTTCCGAGTGGCAATATTCTGCTTTACGTGAAATTCAGCGAAATTTCGTCAATTTGAACCAAATGAATCTCTGACCTTGACTGTATAACGGTTAAACGTTGACCTTTACTGCGAAAAGATAACATCAGAAACTGGATTCCTTGAGTCAAACTGTTGTAAAAACCAACATGTATCACACATGATATCTAGTCCATTATTAAAAATTCGTATTTTGACTCCATATTAACCTGCTTGAACTCCCATATGTCAGGCCATTAATAATTATCAAACAATAATAATAAGCATTACTACTCTCAACAACTCATACTGGGACTCGAATTCACACCTCATCAGCACACATAATATTTCAGTCAGTTACCGTGTAAGTGAAATTAGGGTAAGTTTTGCAGCAGAAGTAACCTTGACCTGTGTTTATAGTCGAGTCCTGACTTTTAATCGGCGAAAAGTACATCAGAAATTGATTCACTGGTCAACCTAACTATAGAAAAAGAGCTAGTCATCACAGTTTTTTGTTTTTTTTTTTTTTTTTGTTGTTTTTTGTCTGGCTTTGTTGCATGCAGTTCTAAGCTATTAGTTAAAAGAGGTTGTATTCTGCCACATGTTAATTATCAAATTAGCTAATTAATAAGTTCCCCCAAAGTGGCGTTGATGCCAACAATAGCTAAAAAAATCTTCTAGAACCATTTGATATAATACAATATCAAAAAAAACCTTGAACATTAAAAATCTTGTTCGCTACTCTGCAACTCGGACCTATAATATATCAAGCCTTCTTTGCAAGCAGATAGAGAATGTCGTCTTGACGGCAAAAAGATTTACGAATATTTAAATTGAACTACAATGGTGCCTTGATGGGCGACAGATCCATGGCAAATGAAACTCTTCAAAAAATGTTTCCAGACTCACAACATAGTCCAAAAAGTATGATTGCAAACATACATAAACCACGTGAGAATTGATGAGAAATCATGCTATCATCTTACCTGTGCTTTAATACACTGTATATACTAATAGTAACCTAACCGTGTAGCTCTTGAAATAGTAATAATGAAAAGTGTTTTGAATCCTAACTATACAAGTGAGTCTAGGGTGAACACTAGGCATCAGAACAATGAAAACCGGCCCATCAGTAACCTCAGATTGGCAGGAAAATGGCTTAAATATTTCAAAATTTTCTTCGGGGGGGCATGCCTCATAGAGCCCCCCTAGCACTGCATACCTAGCACGTGCCGAACGTACGGTTGTTTAAATTTGACATGATGCGTGCATGTATAAAATGTATTACGTGTGATGTGTGTGTGTGTTTTTGTTTGGTTCGGTTGTGTGTGTGTGTTGTGTTGTGTGTTTGTGGTTGTGCTGCTGTGGTGTGTGTTGTGTGGTATGTTTTTGTGTGGTGTTGTGTGTGTGTGTGTTGTTGTGTTTTGTGTGTGTTGTGTTGGGACTTCTGTGTTGTGCGGTGTGTGTTGTGTGTGTGTTGTGTGTTGTGTGTGTTGGGGTGATTTGTGCTGTGTGTCGTGGGTACAATGCGCGTAGCCAGATTTTATTTTGGGGGGGCTGGCATATGCATTAAGCCACGGTGAATGTCGATCATGGCGTAAATCCGTACCGAAGTGGGGGGCGGATGACGCGACTAGCCACAACATACTAGCACGACGTAAAGCCCACTAATAATTTACACCACACGCCCGCGATCGCGCACGCAACCGAACACTACATACACACACAGCACACGGAGGCGGATCCAGAATTGAAAAAGGTTCCAGCGAAGAAATAAAGGCACATTATTTTTGGCTTACTTTCTGGTGTTTTCTAAAATAGCTGCCGAAGGCCACTTGGGTTCTGGGGGACCTCCCCCAAGATTTTTTTTAAGAAATTGGTAGCAGTTCTGAAGCATCTGAGCAGTAACTTTTGATGTCTAGAATCGCAAAATTATCAGATCCGTCCCCGGACTACCCCTGCCGGAACGCCTTCTTTGCCCATCTAAGTTTATACGAAATTTACATATATATAATTAAATCTTTATCAGAAAAACTAACGCAAAAACAAGATTTTTCATGGAGACCAATATGAAGAGTAAAGTGTGGTGGGCGCGCCGCGCAGCGTGCTGTGTGTGTGTGTGCGCGTGTCGCGTTGCGTCTGCGTGCGGCATCGCTGTGTGTGTGTGTGTGTGCGTGTGTGTGCTTGCGTGCTGCGTGCGTGCGTGCGTGCCGCTGCGGTGTAGATTATTCCTTTTTTGGTAAAAAGGGGGTCCCGGACCCCCTCGACGCGCCCCTCTGATCCGCGCCTCACACACACACTACACAACACACACCACAACCACACACCACCACACACACGCACAATATCCACACACCAACACAACAACACACACGCACACGCATACACACACAATGCATAACACACACATCAGACACACACACACACACACACACACACACACACACACACCACACACAACACACAATTCAATACTATTCATACATTTTATACATGCATAACAAACCATGCCGAGGCGCACATGGCAAATTGACACCCGAACGTTGCAACTGCGTAGCCATCAGGCTAGGGGGTCTGGGGTCATGCCCCCCAAGATAAATTTAAATATTTAAGACCATTTGGGCCAATATGTGCATCCTTTTGGGGGGGTGCTACCGCCCCCACCGCCCTTACCCCTTGGCTACGCGCCTGTTGTTGTATGTTCGTGCCGTCTCGATCGCGCGCGTGTGATAAATATTGTGGGTCTGTGTGTTCGGTGCTAAGTATGTGCATGGCTATCGCCGATCATCCCCCCCCACTCCTCGGTACGGATTTTACGCCCCTGATTCCGCACACTTGCACTGGACTCGATTGCGCGCCCCCCCCCCTAAAATAAAATCCTAGCTACGCGCCTGCAAGTGCGTGCGTGCGTGCGTGCGTAGGTGGGCACGTACACATGCGTGCGTGCGTATACGTGCGTGTGTACGTACACATGTACGTACATATGCGTGTGTGTACACGCACACACGTACACAGAATACATGTAGATATACATACTGAACCGAGAGCGCACGCCGCAATTTCATCGATTTTTGCCACAAATGACCCGGTGACCTGTGACGTCACACAAGTTCCAACCCTTTGGGCCTTTTTTTTATTATGCAAAAATTGTTGGTCCAAGCGGGGTCCAAGCCTAGTTTTAGCACCCCCTGATTATTATATAGTTTAGCATATGCGAAAACATAATTATTGCGGGACTCCCAAACTATCCTTGGTCCAACTAGTTTAATCCAATCCGAACGAGTTGACCTGCTTTCTTCTGCCTTCCTCACAGTCATTTGACGCTTTGTTGCTACGGCTACGGTAACGTGCGTAAGCGATATCGATTGTAAGTGAGAGATTCCTACTCGTCGGCGGTTGAATGTATTGTTTGCGTGCTTGGCAACCATCGTGGAGCGAATTTGTACATGTTGAAATTGAAAGTGTAGCTTAAACTGCTAGAATAGGGTGTTTATCTTGCATCTCTTGTATATTATGAGTGTTGCAAGTAATACTGAATTATAGGCTCAGGGCGTCAGATGTTCAGCGTGATGGGAAATTGTATATCGTGTTGGAAACGCCACCGCGAACCTCACAAGTATGTTGTCTATTTGTTGGCCTGAGTATCACGTTCACAATCGCGTCCCAGTCGCATGTTGGTTGTGTCATATTGCTATATGATATACACCTTATAGTTTGCATGATATCATATAGGGCCTAATACATTCTTAGTCATAACAGTTGCATTACGTAACGGCTTCAGACTCAGTGTTTGATTTGATTAAGCAGGTGTGACTAAGTTACAGCTAGCGATATATATGGTGAATATTCTCAAAAAAACAAGTGAAGAAGTGTTAATTTATAACATTGTTATAAATTAACACTTCTTGCTATGATGATGTTTGAGAATATTGCTGACTACATGCTCAACCAAGGTTTGAAACAGTCATAGAAATCATAGGTGTAACGATTCACCAATAATTAAATTAAGGCAATAGTCGACTCAATACGCACATTAATGCTCGTAGTCATAACATAGGGTCTATGTCCCCCAGGTTACTGCCGGAACGTACCCTGGGTACGGTCCGGTATATTGGAACGTACCCTGGTCACTATTTGATATGGTTAGGGTTAGGATTAGGGTTAGGGAGTAGGCGTAGGCGACTTCCTAGACTCGTTAGTGGAGTAGGCGAGGTACAGTCCGGCATATTAGATACTACCAGGGTACGTTCCGGTATACCGGACCGTACCCAGTGTACGTTCCGGCAGTACCATGGGGCGCATAGACCCTCTCAGCCACATTAATACCTCATCTACTATCTAGTAATAGTAGGTGAATTATGATACAATGGCCCGTGATACGATAATTGATATGCAGCGTCTGTTTCGCAATACAAACGATACGGATGTTAAACTGTGAATAAGGCCACCTAAACTATTTAATAATAATATAGCATGTGGAATTCTTTTTAATTCGAATACTTTCTTTTACTTTCTAGACTCCCTCACAATATCACGTAAATATCTTCGGCTTACATGCATAAACTAAAGTTGCTCTGCATGTTGATAATGTCGTAATCTAAATGTTATACGCTCTCGTCGTATTTACAATGGTCACTGCCTGATGACACATACTGGTGCTAGTGGTGATACTATATTTTCGGTTCATACTAAATATATCCAGTTTTAGTTTGGTGCTTCTGTTAAATTATGGTTTAGCCTAATAATAGAGTTTAGTATCATGTACTACCAGTCATTTATACAACAGCACAACCCATTTACTTGTAGGGAGATTACGTTACTGCTGGTTGGAATCGACAATGCAGGAAAGACTGTTGCTGCCAAAGGTTTATTAGGAGGTTTGTGATTGCAATTAGTTCGTGTCATAAACTAGCAAATTACAACGGCATTTGTTTTCACGCTCATTATTGCATTTTGCCACATCTATAATTAAAAGGGATACATTTCTCTAGGTTCTTCAGATATTTTCAACTAAGATAGGTTAAAATTACGCTTCATAAAAAGTGTTATGGTTCAATATTATTAGAAATATTTAAAAAAAATGTTTTAAAACTGACGGCTATACCGTTGCTTACAACACGGTGGCGCCACTGGCAGCGCATCCACTGAAAAAGTTGCACAAAGCAACGTTGCGGCTGCAGGCTACAGACCGAGGGTGTTTCTTATTTATTAATTTAAGAGCAGAAGGATAATTGCAATAGCTTATAAATGACATTTAGTTTCAGTTATAATATGGATAAATTTGTCCTAAAATGAATACCGTTCGGTTAAATAGCATTTAGGTATAAATATAATTGCACTTTTGTGATTATATAGCCCTCGGTCTGTAACGTGCAAAATAAATTGGCAAATGCGCAACGTTTTCAGGGTGGCAGCACGATCGCGGGTGTCATGTCAGCGCCCAAAAATAAAGATTTCAAAATTCAATGTTTTATGACAAACGTGAATGCATAATTATATATATTTATAGGTATGATAATACTGTACTATTATTTATAAATCTAGTTATTATAATATACAGACTACTCTCAAATGTTAGAGGAAATTAAGTATCGACCCCTTTGAATTCTTCTATAATTTGGCTGCTTATTCAGTCATCCTAAGCTGCTAAGACTTCATGGTATAACTAATTAACCCACTGCACAAAGAAATTGACACTGAACAGCGAAAAAAAAAGCACCTGTAGTTTTAGCAAACGAGGTTAGTGGATAACTGCCACAAATAGACAAAAAAAAACGTTTTGCCAGTTCATTGTCCTGGAGGTTTTGCACGTGCGATTTGCGTGGTTGGTAATCTACCGTTTGCGCAGACGGCAATAATAAAAATATTGTTTGTTTGCCCTCACCTGACCAACCCGCCAAAAAGGGAAAAAGGGGCCGACTCAAACATTTTTATTGATCTTTCCCATTTTTTTATTCTTTACAAATTGTATCCAAGCAAAACAAACATTCAACATAAAAGGTATCTCCACGCAAGCACACCCGAGCATGTAGACACGTACGCACCATGCTAAATTTGTAAAAAGACCCCCCACAAAAAAAGCCTACCTACCTATCGAAACTTTTCAGCTTGGGTCGGGTGAGGGCAAACAAAGATTTTTTTAATTGTGGCTTCATCTGCTATGTTCTGTGTTTGCGTCGTAAGCTTCGCGCGTTGTCTCACGATACGTCTGCGCGTTGCAGAGTCGATCGAGGGCGTCGCGCCGACGGTCGGGTTCTCATCGTCGTCGATGAGGTACGACAAATTCGACGTGACCCTGCATGACCTCGGCGGCGGCAAGAAGATCCGCGCCATCTGGAAGAACTACTTGTCGGAGGCGTACGGCCTCATCTACGTCGTCGATTCGAGCGACGGCGAGCGCATGCAGGAGTCGAAGGCTGTTCTAAAGGACCTGCTGCAGAATCCGCGCATATCCGGCAAGCCAGTGCTAGTGTAAGCATACATACGTACACTCAGTAGTCCGCACATATCCGGCAAGCCAGTGCTAGTGTAAGCATGCATACGTACACTCAGTATAGTCCGCGCATATCCGGCAAGCCATTGCTAGTGTAAGCATGCATACGTACACTCAGTAGTCCGCACATATCCGGCAAGCCCGTGCTAGTGTAAGCACGCGCGTTACACGTACACTTGTTAATGTAGGCGATGATGAAAACTTACTCAAATGAGTAGTAGCCACACAGACCCCTAAAGTAAAAATACTAGCAGCCTAGCTTATATTGCATTAAGCACCAAAGATTTGGATTTGTGTTGTTGGAAATTGATACCAAAACTGCAGTTGTACGTTATCAGCATGAAAAATTCAGAGCAATTATGTTGAGGAAAGAACTACAAGTCTTTCCCTTGTAGTTCCCAGTAGCTGTATGTATATAGATTGAATTAATTTTCATGCCAGTGGTACAAAAAGTATCGTGATCCTAGAAAATGATGCTTACGAATTGTGTCAGCATGATCATAGCCCTCAAAACCGCAGTGATTCCACTGCTTACCAACACCAACAAACCCTCACTTTCTGTGCGACCTTCTGAAGAAATTCCGGGGCCTAACATATATTTACTCGCCATGGCGAGTGGTAGTTTTCATCAGTGCCTATATTAGGACACAGTGTTTTCATCGGACGTAGGATGGATATGTGTTGTCGCTCAATGTGCTGAGCTTTGGCCATTGTCTGCCTAGTTCAAAATATTCATTGCATTGAGCTTATGAGATAACACTGAAGATCGTGTGGTGCTGTAGAGACGCCTATACAGGTTTACATGTACTAACTGGGTCACAGATAAACACTGGGCTTAATGGGCTATGATTAGAGATATGTGAGCAGCCTCTTCCTTAATTGGTGGCAGCTAATTAGGCAGGGTTATATATGACCCCTAGAGAGTTAAGTATATCCTAATTAGCAACATCTAATAATTCCTTATGCCCCTATAGATAGTAGTTGGTGATTTTTCTGTATTACAGACTAGCGAATAAGCAGGACGTGCCCGGTGCGTTGGATGAGATTGATGTGGTGGATCAGCTGGATCTAGAGCTGCTAGTGAACACATATAAATGTCCCTGCAGGGTGGTGAGTGTTGAAAACCGATCGAATATGTATTTTGAAATCTTTGAAATCTGTTTGTCTTTTCATCCTACTCGCTGATACAAATTTTTTTTAATGAAAGTTATATTACGTTTGCGTTGAGGCCATACTTCGTTTCATAGAGATTTAGTGGAAACAAACAAAGATTATGCACCCCACCCCACCCCGGATGATCAAATAGTGATGATACAATAGGTAATACATGCCCCTCCATAAATCGCCAGTAAGTGAACGACTGCGTACACTAGTATCTAGGCTACGCGTGAGTCCGTGAGACAACCTGGTTGCTACAAGCTGGTAACAGGGTAAAAAATACACGGGAGCGATGAGCGATTCGCTCTTCAAACCTCCGAAATCGCTCCCGTGAGGCTCAAAATAGCTCGCGTAAAAAATTTTTGACGAGATCTATTTTTTCCACACAGAATTTAGAAAAAGAGCTCCCGTGAAAAAAAAGGAATTTTCCCCCTGTTAGTATCTATGCTACGCGTGAGTCCGTGAGACAGGTTGGTAACTGCGATTGATCGGGGAATCGTCATTGCTGCGCAGGAGACATGCTCGGCGTCACTCGGCCAGGGCAAGAAGATGGACGCCGCGCTGAGAGCTGGCTTCCGCTGGCTGCTGGAGACGATCGGTGCGAACTTTGACCTTCTGCACAAGCGCGTCGAGCACGAGACGGCGCTGCAGCGGGAGGCTGAGGAACAGGACAAGCGCGAGAGGATTGCGCGCGTGAAGAAGGCACAGGAGGAGAGGTGAGAGAGAGAGAGAGAGAAAGAGAGAGAGAGAGAGACGGAGAAGAGAGAGAGAGAGACTGAGATGAGATGAGAGAAGAGAGAGTAGGGAGAGAGAGAGAGAGAGAGAGAGAGAGGAGAGGAGAAGAGAAGAGTAGAGAGCCGAGTGAAGAGCAGAAGCGAGAAGCCCGATGGCGTACGAGGGAGAGTGCGGAGAATGCTGATGATGCGTAAGAGCGAGAGTAGCGAGAGCGAGAGCGAAAAGAGAACGAGCGACTAGAGGCGAGAGGAGACAGAGAGCGGAGCGAGAGCGAGACGCGAGAGCGAGAGCGAGAGCGAGAGCGACGAGCGAGAGCGAGAGCGAGAGCGACGAGCGAGAAGGCCGGTAGCGACGAGCGAGAGCTCGAGAGCGAGCAGTGAGAGACGAGAGCGACGAGAGAGAGAGAGCAGAGAGAGAGATAGAGAGAGAGAGGAGAGAGAGAGAGAGAGAGAGACGAGAGGAGAGAGAGAGAGATGGCGGAGAAAGCGAGTGAGAGGGAATCAAGAGACGGAGAATCCCGAGATGACATGAAAAGAAAACACACGTGAGGAAAGTGACGTTAACACGTATCTAGTGCCTAACCATAGAGAAGCGTCACAAACTAACTGTCTATGTTATATTAAGCGAAAAGCTGAAGGTCAGAAGAAGAAAGATGTTTGCAGGTTAAAATGAGGCACCTGAGCCAATCATTTAATCTACGCCATCATACTGCTGTCGCAAGATGCAAGAAAGGACAGGTATAAATTCTGTAAACGCCCATCTACATCTTGTTGTAAGTTCGAGTAATACGCACTGTTGGCAATCTTCTTTTAGTGCTATGCTAGCAAGTCAGTTTGAATTTTTAGATCCATTATTAGTGGTGTTTAATTAATTCAATGCAAAATACATTAGAAATCATGTAATGGTCAATTCATTCAAATGTTGATGAGGCACGTATGCGTTTTACTCTAGCACGCTAAGCTCTCTTGATTAAATTAATCGATCTACTATAGAATGAATTTTCCCTCGGTAATCTCTCCTTATTTACAGTTAATTTAAAGAATGCATAGTAAAACTATTTTTTTTCTTGTATTATATGTAATAAATTCGCGGCGGCACATTACATTTAAATTATTGATGGGCCGTGCTTGTTGACAAATAACAAATTTTTGAATACGATTACCATTTTTTCCTGTTCTCCTTCATAGGAAAGCGGCAGGGAAATCATATGCGTGGTCGCGAACTAGAATGAAAAGCCCCTCACGAAGATTGCTGGCTGAAGTCTAGGAGCAAATCTCATGCGGAATCTGTCTCGCTATTAAAATAACAGTTGAGGTATGCTGGCCCTACTAAATGGAGAGAGAGAGAGGAGAGAGAGAGAGAGAGAGAGAGTAGGAGAGAGAGAGTAGAGAGAGGAAGAGAGAGAGAGAGAGCAGAGGGAGGGGAGGGAGAGAGGGAGAGAGAGAGAGAGAAGAGGAGATGAGAGAGATGGATAGAGAGATGGAGGGGATGAGAAGGTGGAGTGAAGTGGAGAGCACAGTCAGGGGGTGTATTTCAAATTACTTATTTTGGAAAAGCAAGGACCAGTGTGTAACACCAGTCATAGCTTGATCTGTCAGTTTATTACACAATTTTCCCATATGAGCCCAGCGAACAAGTTTGCTTCAACTATATAAACGCCTAAACATTTCACCTAGTAGAAGAAGTACACCGGTTGATGAAGAATGTGGTAGATAAGTGTTTCATGGCTGCGTTCCTATGTCAGATGGCTAGAAACATAGTATATTGCAAGCTTTTAATATTGCTGCTATGCCAATCGAGGTAACATGCTGGATTATTTCAGAAAAAAAACAGGATATCACAGTCTGGACATGACCATTAGAAAGTGTAAAAACTGAAATGCATACGTGCAATGACGCTTACACAGAGCATTTGTATGGCATGCACTCATTCATCATACGTAAACACATACCAGAGCAGGCATAATGTGGTGGTCCACAGTTATATACAGCATGCGGTTAACAGAAATTTTGGATACTTTGCACACGACCTGTAACGATACGACGTAAACCGGATACAACAATAAGAAATTACTCGACTTGACGATCGATGATGGAACGTTTTCGCCTTTAATCTCTTGCTCAGGGTCACTTCAACCTTCGCGGTCCACACATGATTATGGTGGACGCTACCAAGTAGACGCATAATTTCGATAAGTACAAATGTGTAATAAAATAAGTGTGCGCGATTTAAGGCCATATTGTTATTAGCCCGCACGGTTCAACTCGCCGTCCGAAGCATGATACACCGGTCTAAGGGGCCGTAGCAGGCAACAAACCCGATCAACGGCCATCCACTCTAGATGACCGCCTGTTAAATGTATTATATTTTTCAACCTCAATTCCTCAACGATCTGCTGTTATCAAGAATAAACAACGATTTCTCAAATACCAACAAACAGCACCAGCAAACATAACAACGAACAACAGCAAACCACAACTATCCAATCAATCAAATAAATTAAACAATAACATATCATCACACCAAAACAACAATAACAATAATACAGCATGCAAAAAACACAATACAAAAAACATGCACAATAACAATACACCAACAAACAACAACAACCATCACCAATACAAGCAAATAGATATAATTCAGAATCCAAACAAACATCAACAACAGGCACGTACAATAACAATAAAACACAATAACACAACAACACACAATAACAACAACAAATAACACAACCATCAATAACAATAACAACAAACAGCCAGCCAATCACACAAACAACAAACACGCTACAATAACATACAAAAGCACCAACACAATATCAAGCAACTGCAACATTTATTCGAATATATATCATATTTTAACGTCATTCAACTTGTCTTCAGACCATGTTGACACGAGAGAGGAGGCTTGCTCCGTCCTGTTGACCCTGCGGACACTTAAGAAGAAGAAGAAGAAGAAGAAAAAGAAGCTCTCAATGAAGCATAACAAACGGTGCCGGCACGCACAGTGATCGACAGTGATTGTCGTCCGCCGACGCCCCCTGTCTGTAAAGGACATTGCCGGCCATTGAGCTACAACGAAAGCACTCAACCACCCTCCCACTCTGTCTGCCCTCCAACGATTCAATCTGTAGAGTGCTATTGCGACTGACGAGGCGGGCCCACTACGAGTAGTTAGCTCCCAGGGTCGGTCAGTGAATTGAGGAGGCGACATGTGTTCGTGGCGTCGTACCGCGGTGGAGACCCGGATTGTGTCTTGATGCGTGCAGCATTATCAAGTGATGAGACAGTGCAGTTCGGTGAGGAAGTAGCAACTTGCCACTCAAGTCGGCACCAAACTTGTGAGCCTGGGTAAACTGGAGGCATCTGCTAGTATAAAGTAGTGTCAAGTTGAGGGGGGGGTGTTTTTGACAATGTAGCCCTAGTGATAGTAAAGGTGGTCCAGTGAGTAGGGAAGGCTGGGCCAATGAACAGTGGCGATACTCGAGCTTGCCCTAGAGTTAAGTAATGTAGGTAGTTGTTGAAATGTGGGTCATCGATTCAGCTGGTGGTCGCACTGGTGCCCGGTCGATCAGTTGAAGAGAGGCTGAGTGTGGACACCTTTATCACTTGTACAATTCACGTTTTTACCAAGCAAACTCCAGAGAGCAGATATATGTAGCTCATAATTGGCTGAAGCTTTCTTCTTTGCTCTGTATAGTCGCAAGATTTGTTAGCTAAACCGTGACATTTTTTCAAATTCTGTAGTTCTATCTCAGGCTAGGTTCAGAAATATAGTGTAGAGAATAATTATATTACTTCACACACAGTCTGCGAAATCCCGCTATGTGCAGTTTTCGCAGAATCCAGGATGGTCGAAAAAATTGCGCGGCCATTCTTAGGGTTTCCCCATAACTCTGGGTTCTCAGTCGTGCTAGAAACAGTTAATTAAATGCTAATTATGTGTTTTAATGCCAAGGAATCTACTTAGCTCATTTTGTGAGCGTTTCAAGTGATGGCAGTACTCTAATCTAAGATGGCCGCTATTTTTCATATACTTTTGAAGGGTGCGAAATCTACAGTACTATGCTAACAGCAGATCCATACTACAAGTATGGATCGTCTGCCGACATGCCTTTTCCCACGCCGTACGTGCTTAACATGCCTCACGTTAGCTGCTCTGGCATAAAGTGTCTTGATAGTGCACGTACAGTGCACGTTGGATTCAGATGTGACAGTACATATATCGAAATCCAGACACCTGTCAAAGGCCTTTACTTAGACAACAGCCTGCCCGGCCCGACGTAGCAAGAGGAGGAGTGTGTGAAGCAGTTGAGCCGATCATTTTCACAACTCCTTGAATATACGTTCAAGGTCAGAGGAAAAGGACTGTAAAGCTGTGGTACAGTTACATTCAACAAATCGGCTTCTAACAACATTCTCATTCGAGAGATAAGGACAGGAAGACTGGACGTTCGTCATGCTCTACTCGTGTGAGGAAAATGATTCCTACCCTTCTCATCTGCTTGAGGACATCTAGCCCACTATCCAAATCTGCCAGAGTGAACTTATTATGTATTAACAAACAAGAATTGGAATGATTTTGGAGAAACAATGCAGACTGATGATACAGTCTATATACACAGAGAATGGTTACGTTTCACCATTTCGTGAGTGGGAGACTGCAGTTCTGGGACGTACACAACGAGTTACTTCAGATCAGACCAATTGAACAGATTCCTGATGCGGTCGCCGTGAAATAGCCTCTAGAGGAACTGAAACATTGGTAGGAGAGAGCATCACCGATTAGTAGTTGACAGGAGGTCCATATACAACGTCCCTCGGGCTGTGTTCGCATTCTGTGATGGCAGGCTGCACGTCATGTTGCAGGCCAAGTAGATAAACATGCACTTCTTGCAGGCTGCATGTCAAGGGGGGGGGGGGGGGGGGGGGGGGGGGGGGGGGGGGTGGGGGGGGGGGGGGGGGGGGGGGGGGGGGGGGGG